CAGAACAGATGGGACTATTTTTAAACTGGACTAGGTGGCTCCAATGCTTTTACCCCACAAACTGCCTTCCCTATAGTCTCATTTGGTCTTCTTTTGGGTCCCTACCCTTCTTCACTGGTCTCCATCCAAACTTTTTCCAGCTGAGGATGGGGTCTTTATCCCATTTTGGCATGACATCTATTTACTCCTCCCATCTTCCACATCTTCCACACAGGATATCTAAGCAAGTTTTCACTGCCTTCATTTGTTAAAAAATAACTTTTTTATTTCTTTGGAAAGTGGTGGGCCCTGCCCTATGAACTTCCAGGCCACGCCAAGGTAATGAATGCTCCCCTAGTCTTTGGGATGGATTACTCTGGTCCCCGCCTTCCCACAGGCCCAGAAGCAGTTATTGTCCAACTCAACTACGTCACAAATTGTCTGAAGGCTATCAGGCCTTCTTTCCTGGCCACCCACTTCCCAATCTTTCCTGGCTTTCCCTCTGGGCAGGGTACTTTTTCTTCCAAAGCCAGTGCTAGAACCTGTACCTTGCAGAAGAGAGGACAAGATCAGGCATGTCCCCATCTTCCCACCAGGGGACATTTAGCCCCTTAGTCAGTCCTTCCTCTCTGCTGGCTTCAGTCTGCACTCCTATGCAAGCCCTCTCTGTGAGACTTGAAGATGGACAAGAGGACCCTTATAAAAGGGAGGTGAGAGAAAACCCACCAGCCCAACCCCTTCTCAGAAGTAAACTCCTTGTAGCCTCTTGTCCTAGTTCTTGAATGAGCCCTTAGGACAGGGCCTGGGAGGACTAGGCGAGTGAGTGGGTAAAGCCCCCCTACTCCCACCCTGGGATCCCAGCCCTAGGAGGCTATACCAGGGGAGTGTCCATTAGCCCCATCAATGTGGCATGGCTGTGATACGCATGCTCTGGGAAGCGATGGGGTAAGTCACCATGGGAGTGGTGGTGTGGCTCATTGTGATTCCTGCCAAGGGTTGGGCCATTGATACAGCCACAGGGGCCACAGGAGCCACAGATACAGCCACAGGAGCCATGGAAACAGGTGGGGGTGCCATTCCCTGGGCAATTGTTTGAGCCAGAGCAGCTGACAGTGGCGTGATCTCTGGGTTCAAATGTGGGGGTGGGGGTGGTGGAGCAGCAGGAGGTGCAGCATTAGTTGGGGGAGCAGCTGGAGCTCCAGTAGGGGCCACCAGTTCTTGCTGAGACACAGGCCGAGGCTGTAGAGCCTGGCTACTGAGAGTAGTATGAGTCTGGGCAATGCCATGGTTAAAAGTGGCAACAGTACCCACAGTAGGGGCCAGAGTTTGCTCAGTTGCTGGTGCAGTGGAGCTCAGGGTCATGACCTTGGCCTGATTGCGGAACTGGGCATTTTGTTCCAGGAGTACCTCATTGGTAGCCAGAAGGTTGCTGACCTGCTTCTTTAGCTCCTCTACCCGCTTCCTGAGCATGGCATTCTCCTCCTCTAGCAGTCTGCACTCTACTCCTCGGGATGGAGCCAGGCTATAATCATAGGATTCAAAATGGGGGCCATCTGGGGGACAACATCCACCTCGCCGCCGCTTGGGACCTGGCTCATGGTCCTCGAAGCCCCTGTCAGGGAGATCATAGATATCATAGAGATCATGACGTCGTCCTGGGGGGACTGGGCCTGTTGAGCCCCCACCACCAGCGCCTCCTCCACCCCGAGTATCAAATTCAAAATCTCGTTGTAGGTGACGGAACTTGCACTTGGCCCCTCTCTGGCAGTCACCTTTGAGAAAGTCCCGACAAATAGGGACCTCCTCCTTGCCATTTGGTAGGTCAGCTGGAGAAAGGCCCAGGCCTGCTGCAACTTTCTGCCTCAGCCGAGGGGGAAGCTCTCCTGTCTTCTTATAGCCATCCTCATCCTCCTTGGAGCCGTGGATGAATCGGCAGTTTGGGCGACTACACTCCTTGTTCTGGAAGTCATGGCAGAAGATGAACTCATTTTTGCTCACCCCCAAGTTGGACACCTCATTCATGTCTGGATGGCGATATCGGCAACGCTTGCCTCGCTTGCACACATTCCTCAGGAAGTCTCTACAGATGGCATCTGAGCTGGCCCCTCCACTGCCTGCCCCTGTCCCACTGGCCTCCTCGCTGCCACCACTTCCAGGGCCTCCACCGCTGCTCCCAGTGCCGTTGGCATAGCTGTCCCGGTCAGGCATCCTGGTCCCCCCCAACTCAGGGCTTTCTTCCTTTTCTTGCCACCCTTGGTGACCACTAGGAAAGAGGAGAACTGTGTCAAATAAGAGTCTTCCAGAGAGGCCACGCTCTTCCCGACTATAGGGTAGGCAGTCCACAAGAGGCAAGCCAGAGGAGCAATGGCTTTGGAGATGGAGAACCTAAGGGATGAGAATTCTGCCCAGACTGGCTAGTTTGTCAGAAGTCCCGCCCAGGCCCTTGTGCACCTGGTCTGGGTCAGAATGATTCACACTTGCCTGGCTAATGGAGAAGGGAGGGAGCTGGGGGTGAAGCCATCTCATCTCACTAATGAATGCAGGCCAAGGAGGGGGCAGGGATAGAATAGTACTGGATTTTATTTCCCCTTCTGAATTGACCTTATTAAAGTTGTGGAAGTGAAATTAAAACTATCAGTGTCTGAATAGGCTAGGAGGAGACTGGGAATCATGGCCAAGATGGGCTGGTAAGCCACCAGGGCTGTGGATAATGGGATATTGGTGACAAAACTTCCTTTGACCCCTCTTCCATGGGATTTCAGGTGAGGGCTCTGTGAAGTACCATATCTCTAGACCCCAGAAAATCCTGAGTGAAGAGTCTTGTGTCACCAGCTCGAGAGCAGTTCTTACACTTGTCATTTTTTAGTATTTTCTCCCAGCTCCATACCATTATCAACCCCCTTGTGGTCAGCCCCCTCCTCTCCATTTCAGGGGAAGAGTTCTACAACTGGAATCTCCACTTATAGACTCCCAAAGGACAAAACCATTTGTTCCATGTCAAAGAAGGAGGAAGGAGTTAATTTCACAGGAACAAGTGACCTTACTTTGCCCATTCTATCCCCTCCTAACCCTCTATGGGAAGATACCACTGACATCAAACCACACCATTCCTCACCCCATAAAGATCCTCTTTATTTATAGACTCTATAAAAGCTTTTTAAGTCTCATCTTTCCCAAGAGAGCTCTGGAATGTCAGTCCACTGCCCTGGTTCTAGCCCGCCCCTCACCCCACCCCCCACAAGATTGGAGTCCTAGCTACCACGTGCCTGACCTGGTAAACCTTTCCTAGGCAGTGTTCAGGCTCCCCCTACTGTTCAAATAGCAAAACTTCATATTGTTTCCCCTTGAATATAAGGGAATCTTTCAAATTTCTCTAGTCTGGATCTCTCCCAACGACCACCCTGTTGTCATGACTCTGCCTTCAGATCTCCCTAAAATGAATCGACCAGAGGCCAGAGTTACAAGAGAATCTAGAAAAGAAGGGTCCTCTTCCTCCAAAGAGAAGTAGTCCCAGAATAACAGAAACAATCAAAGAAAAGAGTGGTAAAAGAGAAAATACAAACTTTTACTAAAAGAGAAATGATCTGGTGGAAAATAAATGCCATCTATCCAAGCCTGACCCACATTACAGGTCCCACCAGATACTGATAATCAGATATGGTATTCCTCCCCACCCAACTCTCCCAAGGATTTTTTCGATACCTGAGGTAGCTCAGGTGAAGTCCGGGGCTCCGGTGGGTCTCCACCTCCACATCACTGCTGGGTTCTGAACAGGAACAAAACAGATACTTGGGTGGGATAAAGGGTAAGAATGGAGGACTAAAGGGTGATAGTTACAAGGAAGAAGTCTGACAAAACGGCAAGAGCTCTGGGCACATCAAGATTTCCTCAGGGTTTCAACTGAACTTCACCTGTCAAAGGGAGAAGTTGCAAGTAAGAAAAGTAAGAGATAGAACTAATTCGGAGAGCCTAGAAGGATGGGTTGATAAACAGCTCTGAGTGAACAAAGGGTGAGGGGAGCCCTGCCTCAAGATGAAGAAGGATGTGGGGGTTAGGGTCCAGCCTAGGGTTGGGGTTAGGAACAACGAATGCGGAGCCGAGCAAGGACCCCGACTGACACTGCAGTGGGATGGCCAACTAGATTTAGGGGCTGTGATTAGTACGCTTCGCAACACCCCAGAGTTTGCAAAAAAAGTCCTAGGAGTTTCCCGCAGCAAATCTTCTAGCTTGGCAGGTTCTGTGCAGTGCCACAAGAGCTCAGCCTTGGGCCAGGTGAACAGGACACTAATGGAGCACGTAGTGGAGCTGGGAGAAGGACTCCAGGTGACATCAAGCTGAGGGGATGGGCAGGGCTGTGACGTCACAGGGCTGGCGTTTGCTCTCGAAGCGAGGTCAGTTAGAAAGGGGGTCCGGCCCTGGGGCATGAATAAGACCCAGCTCGGTCTTGGGGGGCCTTGTGGAGCCCGACCAAGCCAGGCCACTGGGCCGGCCCCGACTCCTCCCCTCCAGGCGCGGCCTCCACCTAAGTCTCCCGCCTCCCTCACCTGCCGCCGCCGCCGTAGTTGCTGCTGCCGCCTGCCGGTCCTCTAGCTTCGACAAAGAGCCGCCTACCCTATGGCTCTTCCGCTTCCTGCGGAAGAAGCGACGCTCTGGCCAACAGACCCGGAACTACACTCTATGGTGTGTACAGTACTTGTGACTAGCCGCAGGAAGTTCCCAGCAAGCCTTGCGTGTCACCATGGCAACACGACACAACACAGTAAATCGTCTTAAAACCTTAATGCACCGAGACAGGGGGCAGGGTGAGGGCCCTTTGCCTAACTTGCCTACGAACCATCTTGACATCTTTCCTCAAGCTTCCACTACTCTGAGAGCGGGGGACCAGATGTTGGGTAGGGGCAGGGTCCACACCCCGGGGGGAGTCCATGTAGCTCAACAATCTCTACAGCATCCGGTGCAGGGCCCACTGTACAGGCAGGCCCCAGCCAATGGAACCATAAAAAACACAAAACAGACACTCCTTTTTTCTTCATCTGAGACAGAGATTTATTGTACACGTTAAATCAGCCACAAAGGACAACAGAACCAGTCCAGAATGTCACAGGTCCAGAGCAAAGGACCAAAAGGGACTGCTTTTGTAAGAGCAGGGTGGATGTCTCAAAAGGCGGTCGCGGAGATCAGATGGCATGTATGTTCTAGATCCATCGAGAAGTTCTAGACAGCAGGCATGCAGTCCAACAGTTTGTACCAGTGTCTCTGGCCTCTGGCTTCCCTTATTTCTGCTTCTGTGGCTTCCACGGGTGCACAAGCTAGCGGTTTACTTGGACCTCTGCCTCATCTTTCTTCTTTTGCGCTTCAGCCTGAAAAGCAGACACAGGAATACAACCCCTGCCCTCAAGCCCGCGTTCAACCTTTCTCCCCATCTGTGTACACAATACACAGGTGGTGAAATGATCAAGCACTGCATTCTATAGTTGTGTATTCAATCCCTGGCCCTGACAAGTCAGTGCTTAAAATGTTTTTCACAAAAGTTCTTTTAGATTTCTAAGCCAAACGTTCCAAGTTTTGCTCAAAGCATGCACCACTCCACCCCCACCCCCACCCCCCAGTGCCGGCAAAGTCTCAACATACCTGCGCATTCGCTTCTTCCTCCACTGGCGACCGATTATAACCAGAAGCAAGGAATAAAAAGGGTCATTAGTTTCAGTGACAGGTTTAGACAGGGACGTGGAGAGCATTATTTAGAACCAGGCAGGTTCTTGACTAAATACGAGGGCTTAGTCGCAGTAATCACATCAATTATTTGGCCTTCGAAGTAAACCCCGAATTCCGCATGCACTCTTCTCTGAGCACAGCACTTACCCAACCAACTCCTTTGCTTCCTCCCAAACTATCCTTCCTCTCCTACTAGTTCTTGGACAGCATTGAGAACCCAGCGATTCGGAAACCATGGCGGACTTCCCTTGCCTGGGTCTCCACCCCCAATCCTTAACTCCTAAGTTTACACCCAGAAAGTGCTTACCTTGGCTCTCATGGCGCAGAAGTTCCTACGGGTAAAGAGAAAAAGGCTACAGTTAGTTTTCTGTGATGATGGTAAGTGCGGAGATCAGATGTTAATGGATTGTATGTGTAATCCTCACACAGGAACCAAAAACACGCACCTAAGAAGATGGCGCTAAGGCCGAGAGAGCGCCAACTGCCCGCCCACGGCTATTTAAGGGCGCGCTCACTGCCGTCACTTCCGCTGCTCAGTCCCACTCCGGGCCGGTACCAATGGCTTCCGGCTCCACTCAGACACCTGGTAAATGATTTCGTTTTCTTGCACGACAGAGTATTTTGAATTTGAGTTACAAAACTCCCCGCCCCCGGTTTTTGTTGTGAGGACGTTGTGTTATTTAAACGTAAGCACCTACTTTTCCAATATGAGAACTATAGGTGCAGGCAAGCAAAAGAGAGCGACTTTCTCCTTCCCTCTCGTTGCTTCATGGGAGTTGCAGTTTACTGGAGACACCCTCCATTTTATTATGAATAGGTGCGTACTGTATAAAATTCTAATTTGTCTACTGGTTTGTCTTATTTTTTAAACTAAATTGCTGCAGGGAGAACCCCCTCCGAAGGCCCTAACGTCCCAGAACATGGAAATGTAAAGTTGGGTTGTCAAGAAAGCTGTTTTATTACAAAACAAACAAACCTGTCACTATTCTAGATAAACTTTTTCTTAGCCATCTGTGGTCTTCCCCAACAACGCCTGAGGCAGAAAGTCATTAGATTCCCTGCCACAATGCATCTTGTTCAGAATACACTTCAGTGATTCTCTCTAGCAGTGGAGAGGGGAAGAAAAGATGCCTGTCTTCTCTAGGGCAAGAGTGGTGTTTGGTATTAAGATAAAGAACTTTCCAGTCTCGCCTGGCTGGTGTGGCTCCCTGGTTGAGCGTGGACCCATGCACCAAGAGGTCCCCGTTCAATTTCCGGTAAGGGCACTTGCCCAGGTTGTGGGCCCGTCCCCAGTGGGGGGCATGCAGGAGGTGGCCAATCCATGTTCTCTCATTGATGTTTCTATCTTTCTCTCCCTCTCCCTTCCTCTCTAAAATCAATGAAGAAAAAATTTTTTTTTAAAATAACAACTTCCCGGTCTCAGGGTATAGACAGGCCAGAAGTACCCAGTAAACAGATAAGTCAAGATTTAGGCCCTGGCCGGTTTGGCTCAGCGGTTGGAGCATTGGCTTGTAGACCAAAGAGTCTCGGGTTTGGTTCCCACTAGGGGCACATACCAAAAAAAAAGAAATTGGACAGTTATGAAGGGTGGAGAAGAATCCTTAGCAAGACTTCACCTTATTCACTTTGATACAGCAAGGTTTTTTATTATAATCCCTCCTTTTTTGGTGGTTTCCCTTTGTAATATATGCAATAACATTATCATCCTTTCAACTCTATTAATACAAGGTTTTTAAAACTTGGGGCTCTTACTCTAAGTGCTTAAGTAGTTCCAATATTTTTAACAATATAGTTTTTTAAAACAAAAATAAAAACCCAGCAGAATTATTTATCAAATCCACCCAGATTTCACCTGGTGATTGCCCAGTCTATAAGCTTTTGTGAGGGAGCTCTGCCCTCATGCGAGGATATTTTTTAATTTATCTTCAGACACAGTGGGAGTGGGAGAGAAACATCAATGTGAAAGAGATTGGTTGCCTCCCGTATGATTCTGACCATGGCCAGGGACCAAACCCCAACCGAGGTACAGTGCCCTTGACTAGAATCGAACCTGCAACTCTTTGGTCCCCTAGGCCGACACTAACTGCTGAGCCAAACTGGCCAGGGCAGAAGAGCTCCACGGTTTTATCACTGTATTATCTCTAGGTCAGCATGCCTCACATGTATGGTACTCAGATCTAATAAATTCATTTAAGTCTGGCCCAGAAAAGTTTTTGAACACTAAAAGCATTCTTCTTGGCTTTCTAAATCAGTATTAACACTTGAATAGTATCTTATTTTTGCAGTAAACATTAAATGTGCTAGTTCTGAACAACGGGTTAGCAGCAAGGTTAATGTTTTTACTTTATAAAAATCAAATCAGTCTGGCCCGTGTGGCTCAGTGGTTGAGCATCGACCCATGCACCAAGAGGTTGCCAGTTCGATTCCCGGTCAGGACACATGCCCAGGTTGTAGGCCTGATCTCCAGTGGGGGGCATGCAGGGGGCGGCCAATCAATGTTCTCGCTCATCGATGTTTCTCTCTCTCTATCCCTCTAAAAAACCAATAAAGAAAAAAAAATCAAATCAAGTTCCCATAGAAAATTCACTCTTAATTCAGGATTTATGTCTTTGGGTTAGGGAAGTATTCCTTGTTTTATGATTATTATTTTGTTAGTCTTCACCAGAGGATATTTTTCCATTGACTTTTAGAGTAGAAGGGAGAAACACATTGATTGGTTACCTCCCACAGGACTCCAACTAGGGGGGGATAGGGGAACAAAACTGCAACCTGCAACCCAAATACATGCCCTTGACCCTTCAATCTGAGGGCCGAAAACTAATCCCTGAGCCAAACTGGCCAGGGCAAGTATTCCTTGTTTTAGAAAGGTACAAATATGGTAATACAGCCCTGGCCAGTTTGGTTCAGTGGTTATAGTGTCGGCCTGCGGACCAGAGTTTCAAGTTCAGTTCCCGCTAGGGGCATGTGCCCCAGTTGGGGTCGTGTGGGTGGCAACCACTCCATGTGTCTCTCTCACATTGATGTGATGTTTCTCTCTTCCTCCCTCTCTCCCTTCCACTCTGAAGATAAATGCAAAAAATAAATATATATATATATGTATACATATACACATGGCAACACAGAGAGAGCTCAAAATGATCACCCCACTTCAAATAACACTTCCCCACCTCCATCAAATAAGAGCAGCAAAGGCACATGATTATGAGCAAATCCAAATTTATTTTAACGCCATGTCATTTTCAATGTTTAAAAACCTCATAAGTTAGCGGGAGTCTTAGTTCTGGACAGCATGCCAGAGGTACTGAATGAAATTCGTCACCTTTCTCTCCAAACCCCTAGCAATTCATCCAATTCAAGTCCACAGCTTTAGAAAGCCAGGAGTTGTCTCTTCAGTCAATCTGTTCCTCTGGTTCCTGGTCTTTCTTTCAAGGGAGGGAGGTCAAAACATTTCAAACAGGAACAAAACCACAGTTGAGCTTCCAGCTCAGGTTTGTAAACTGGAGCAAGGGAAGACCCCACTAACTCTAAAGAAATGGACCAGTTGAAATTAATTCCTCCTTTAAAGCTCTGTGGGAATTAAAAAAAAGTCCTGCAGAACAAAAATGACTATAAAGGTTTACAAATGAGGATCCATTTCATAGATGATAATTCCTTGGTATATGCAGGCTCCAAGCTCCTAAAAAAAGGAGGGGCCTGACAAGAAAGACAGCCTGGATCAGAAAAGGAATCTACCACGTGAGTAAAAACAATCTGAATAGCTCCTCTCTACTTTGAGGCCAGATAAAATACTTGGGGAGTGGAAAAAGAGAGGAACAAGCCCCAAGAGATGGGAAAACGCTGACGTCAGAGTGTATAAAAAAATTTCAGCTGAATTTTTAGTGGTGGTGGCTCCTTTAGCCTCCTCCCCTGTTCTGTCCAAGGGCCATAAACCTTGACCAAGTAGAGAGTGGTAGAAAAAGGCTAGAAAGAGGGGCTTGAAGACGATGGATTTTGACTCCTGATTTTATTCAATTTCTCGTTTCTAGTTAAAGTAGTCTTCTTTAGCTGGGAAGCCTGGCCCTCCCAAGACCAGAGTCAGTTGGAGCTGGTTCTTGTTGGAAGGGGGTTGGGTTGGGGGACTGGGATGGGGGCAGGGAGACCCCCGCTCTGCTGGCGGTCCTGGGTGGAGAAGACGAACTGCACTTCACAGAGCCTGGGGTGTGGTGGGAAGGGGATGAGGCAGGAGCGGCTAGCCGGGGAGATGGGACCCACCTCAGTCCCCAGCTTCATTCTCTTCTAATGTTTCCCCACTGGTGGCATTCTCTGCAGTCTTGGAGGCCTATATTCATGGAAAGAGGTAGGACTTGTCAGTTTCCTTGGGGTAGTGTTTGAGGGACTAAGGACAAAAATACTAATTCTCTAGGTAAGGGCCGAGAAGGGGGAAAATAAGGATATACAAAAATCTATGCCCCACATGACCCAGGAAAGTGGCATAAAGAGGGGTTCAACCTGCCCAAGAAGGATAATAACACACCTTCTTTTTTTTCTTTTTCTGGGTTTTCCGACTTGCAGAACTCTGGAGGAGGGCCTGGAAAATAGGAAGAAGGAAAATATATTTTGAGGAATTCAGAGGAAACAGTCTTACTTTCAATATTGTAGCTCTTTTTTTTAAACCCTCACCCGAGGACATTTTTGCATTTATCTTTGGACAGAGTGTGGGGGGGGGGGCACATTGAGTAGTTGCCACCCACACGACCCCATCCGGGGCCGGGGACAAACTGCAAGCAAGGTACGTGCCCGGAACCAAACGTGGGACTCTGGTCCGTGGGCCAACGCTCTAACCGCTGAGCAAAACAGGCCAGGGCTATTGTAGCTCTTTTTCAGGACTTTGCTTACATTTAGTCCTCGCACCCAGGACAGGTTCCATATGCTCACCACTTTCCAGCCCACACTAACCTTTAGCTCTGCATCCTGGACCTCCAACTCAGACTTGTAAAGCTCAGGCTCAAAGGGACCACTAGTTATCCGCATGGGACCGTTGGGCATGAGCAGAACTGTAAATTTAAACTGGGCAACAAATTCGCCTATGGAAAAGAGAAGTGTTTTTGATAAAACATTCCCGTCATACTCTTTTTCTATAAGCTCTAGAAAGAAGGGAACCATATGACCAGTTCCAAAGTGAAACTCTCCTTTTAGAACTTACCCTCCTTCTCATAGAGAACATTAAATGGTTGCAGCAGTTCATGTTTGGCGCACTCTACCACACCCATTCGGGCCTTTTTCTCATCTTCAAATGCTCTGGGTAGGAGAAGACAAATTCAGGTATCCTCAACTCCCTATCAAGTATTACCATTTTGCTCATATTTTAAAATAGCTCCTACCCTCAGGCAGAAATCATGCTTAGGATTGTTCTTTTACCTTCCCTTCAATGAGGGAGATGGGGAGCATAAGAGAGCCTTGCATGCAGGCTGGAGCTACAAGTCTAGGCAGGAGGGAGGAGGGAGAGAGGAAGGGAGGGGTGGAGGAGGGAATAGTATTCCTGGGTG